CCAGGAAATCTGGAATCCTGGGTTTTGGAATCTGGAATACAGCTCAAAGAATTGAGGTCCAAGTTCCATTGACAAATAATCCTGAATCCAGTATGTGTACCTGAGTTCGGAATCAACGGTGTCAGAATCTAAGACTTCTTGAATTTCCTTACATGGGCGATAGTTTTAATAGGTGAGAAGATCGACTGTTTTGACGTATGAACGAAAGGCCGTTTCGTGTTGAAATCAATCAATCAATAAATAAATGCGGTTTCAAAAATATCCGGATATGAGTAGACGTGGCCATACTTTCCTCAATACGCGAAACGATAGGTTGTGGAAGTCAGACCAGAGCGGGTCTGAAAGGAATGTAACGTCAACATATCTTTCAATTGAGGCTAAATTTCTCATTTCATATGCAAGTCAGTTGTTTACTTCTCAATTGTTTCCTCACACCTGGTGCCCCATAGTTATGTCCCTATAGCTTTTAAGGTTTTACATTTCACCGTGAATTACGTAGGCGATTGGTCTCTAGGGCAATAAAACAATAATTCAAACAAGAATATTCGGTTGATGACATTGTCAGGTTTAAGAGTTCTCTGAGACAGTCAGTAGCAGTATATGTGTTTATGATTGAGTGAAATAGTTTCATCTGGTGATCTTCAAGGCTTTTCTCGCGAGCAGTCACAAAATGATCACCAACCGTGGGAACACAGAACTGAAGCGAAAAGCGGCTAGGCAAACAACGTTTCAGAATCCTGCGGAATCGCTTCGAATAAAGTGTCTTTCTCGCGGGGCAAACGGAATAATGGGATTAGGAAGGTACGTGTGTTCATGAGATATTTCTCCTTCAGTCATTACTTTTTAGCTCTGTTATATTTATGGGTTGAATCGACGGACCATAACATTTAACGATATATAATAGCTATCTTTTTCACCCTACCAGTCTTTTCCAAGCGTTAATTTTTACTAGAGATCTAACAGAATGTATGAACTCGCGAAAGCGTTGTAAACTTAAAAGTGATGGCATAAGAAAGAAAAAGTTCTGACTTCATCACTCACGAGTTTTTGCACTTTAAATCTATTTGTCGGTGAACAAATCTGTGCCATTATTCAATCGTTAATATAAATTGGCACCATAATGCTTAGTACTATTAATATATTATAAAGCATCCTTGGATATAACTGTCGGCCAAAATGTTCTTATTTTCTGGATCAATGATCAATTTCTGAGGTTTTGAAATAGCGCGTTATAAAATATATTACCGGGAATGTAGCTTTATATTTTTCATCTGATTTACAGATCTTTAGTCCATTAGTCAGTGAACACACTCATTTTTATGCATAGTTTTGTGAAGTAGATTCACCCTCTTCTTTCAAGAATTCACCGTCTGATAGGAAAAATAAACTTCGCGACAATTCCGCATCGGTCGAATGATGTTCTTTTTGACCTAGGAAGAGTTTCCTTATGTCACACAGCTTCTTTTAAGTCTGTACGGTTCTTTGCTAAGATCATCATGGCGAATCACAGGGCGCGATCCATTCAACCAAACTTTCCGGAAATTTCGGTCCAAAACTCAATGGATCGGTTCGGTCCAACCGGAAAAGTTTCGAAAAAACGGGTCCACCTTTTGAGGTGGTCCTCTTTTCCCAGTCGGACCGGTTGGAATTTTGGTTGAATGGATCGCGCCCACAGATCCTTTTCAATCTTTGAGCCCGTAGTACTTTAAAAGTTATACTCACGCCACTGTTGTCATAGTAACTGCAAAATACTCTTCAGAATCTTCGTGACTTTGAAAGGGCGCCATATTTGTTAACGGGACTATACAAAAACAACATGGCTGCGACAGCGAGATCCGATTCAGAGATGAAACAGAAGTGTAAAAAGATGCTAAATAGTAAAGGAAAAATGGATCCCATTGAAAGATTAAGATTACAGTGCCTCAGTCGTGGTTCGGCTGGCATAAAAGGCATAGGAAGGTAGGAACTTAACGCTATCATTTTGTGTAGCTGACAGTTACCTTCATCTGCAAAACTTGTTTACCTGGAAGAATTGCCGCATGGTGTTTTCCTTTTTTAAGGCTTTCTTTGGTTGTACACGGTTGGTGTGAAATTGTGACGGAGGGGACGGAATTTGACGAATTTTTATCCATGAATTAGGCGGAGAAAATAGGCTTCCCCGAATACGAAATTGTATAAAGCTTTGATAGGGCTATATGAACTATGCCTGAAGCAAGTGAATGGTAAATGCAATCCATCCAGTTTAGAAAGCAGAAGAAAGAATGGTGCAATGTAGTCATTTAGATCAAACAAACACTCACTCTTTCAATTTGCTTTCTACATGCAAAAATATGAATATAAGTCAATTCATAAGACAATTATCTTTTATCTTAGTGCAATCATATTCCACTTTTACCGAGAAACATTTTTCATATTCGTAGTAGTACTTTGACATCATTCAATAGTTTCACTGATCTTAGTAATAGCACATGATTGCTGCAAGTCCTCCCCCTCGCCCCTCAGTTAAGCTGTGGTTTCTTGGGTGTCCTGTTGCTATATGGGCATTACAACGTGGATATATATTTGTAAAGATGATGTTTAGCTTGCCTAGTCCCTGTACGGTGTTTTCTCAGTCCCTCTGGGTCAATTCGTTTCGGTGATGTATCCGAGGCGAACGGGCGGGAAACAACTAGACAAAAACAGAATGCACATGCTTGCGTTACTTTTTGAAATTCAAAGATGATGTTAATGTTGTGAGCAGCAAGCAAGCAGGCAGCAGGAGATTTTGGTTATTAACCACGCTTATGGATATTTGTAGGATAGACTTTTGCCGACTGGCTTTGAAAAGTCATCAGAATGTTATTCATAGTCCTATGAAGATTTATACTGCTCCTCTCATCATTCCAACTGAGCTATCGGAGTTTGCTGCTCGTGAATTTTCAAAGTAAACACAACTGACCCGTGTATTGTAAACTTAGACCTCAAATCTTGAATAATTAGAAAAACCATACTTTCAAATAAATTCATTAGAGCGGTTGTATCAAAAAGTGCCCAGAAACTGAATCTAAACGTAAAAATCCTATAAAATTCCGGACATTCACAGACATGATGCGTGTTTGCTATGTTTTTAGCCATTATTTCTCCTAGTTCCAGCTGTAGTTCTTACTCTTGAAACGAGTAAAGTGTTCGCCATTTTAGTTTTTACAACAAAAAAAACTCAATCTCGTCCCCAGGTCTTCTCGGTTAATGGTGCATTAACGTGTAGAAGGCTGCATTTTTGACGTCATTTCCTCGTTAAACACAAAATTCTCCCAAATTTGGTAATAAGTAACTGGGTATGGTGAATTATGGGTGTGCTTTTAGCCAATCAGAATTAGGGAAATATTTTGAATGAATAATAATGTTATTTATTTACTGTCCTGGCCCCAGTTGTTTAAAAGGTGGATAGTGCTATCTGCTGGATGAATCTCCATCCAGTGGATAGTGCAATTGGTTTCCCTAATACTTTATCCACTGGATAGAGATTTATCCAATGCATAGTGCTCTCCAGCTTTTGAACAACTGGGGCCAGGTGTCAAAATCTTATTGAGACCCTACTGGAAGCTCATTAGTTGAATTATGTACAGAATACTGTTTACAAGTAAATGTTTTATTTCTGTTTTCTTTCTCCACCAGAGTTTTCAGAATAATGGATGATGACGCAAATCGAACACTGGATTTTAATGAGTTCAAAAAGGGTATTCGTGAATATGGCCTTCATCTTGAACCAAAGGTATCTTTGACATACTTCTTTGCCGGTGCTGGACTGCAAAATAAAGTTTCGATTTTTGCAATGATCTTGAATATTTACATAGCACCCTGCTCTCACCAGGCTGGGGCTATGTAGTTAACCCTTTAAGCCCCAATATACATGTACAAATTCTCCAAACTGATCTCTATACATTTCCTTAAAGAATGAGTTGAGTGAATTTGATAAAAGATCAAAGCATTTTCTTTAAGGTGATCAGTTTATTAATTCTCATAACCTAATCTCTTGACAATGTATGGATATTGTTAGGAGAAAATTGATGTTGGTCACTGTCGGGACTTAAAGGATTAACCTACAAAAGTAGGGAGCTTAAGCAATGATGATGGTAAAAACACAGTTGGGTTAGATTGGTAAAACAACAACTCTGCTCATTCATCATGCTTTTTTGTACATTTCTTTGCTGTCGGTGCATGTCTATGACTTGAAGCTTCCTAATGTCATGTTTTATAGAGGATGGGAGTACAAGACAACGATTTCCTCTTTCTTTTGTGAAGTTAGGTAGAGTCCTTTAAAATCCAACTCCTGAAAAAATCGCCAACCTATGACAAACTGTAAGAGTTGGGATGAATTTGAAACAGCAAAGAATCCTATTTTTTCGGCTGAAGTTTTTGTCGCTGTTGCTGTTGTCATTGCTTAAGCTCTCTAATGTCGCCTGACAGGGGGGCAAGGAATCTAGTGACAAACATACAAGATGACTCAAAAGAGTGTATGTTGTGGTTTTGTTTTATCCTTGGTTTAAATTTTATTTTCCTTTGCAGCCCTTCAAGTAGCGACCATTTTGGTCATGGCACCTAAAAGTTTGTAAAAAAGTCTCCCTAAGCCAAAAGAGTTGGTGGCCAAATGGCGACCAAACAAAAACTTTAACTTGGGGGGGTCGCTTTGTAAGTTCCAGACTCATTACCATGTATAACCATGAGCAAACCCCAAAGTAAAATACAATTAAAAACCAGTGCAAGGACACAATTGAACAACAACCGATAAACTATCACTCATTGCTTTAAAGTCTTTAATTGACTTCTTCATGTACATATCCTTTTGTTGGCCTCGTTTGTGAGTGGACCTTTTATATTATTTATTATTGTAGGAGTTGAAGGAAATGTTCCAAGCATTTGATACGGATGGCAGTAATGTTATTGACTTTGATGAGTTTCTCCTCGCCCTCAGAGTAAGTTGAAGACTTACATGTACATGTGTAGTTTAATTAATCAAGATTATTAGACAGAGGAAAAAAGAACTATTTAATTTGCTTCATGTATGAAATTCATTTGAAAGAAATTCATTAATTTCATTCCTTATCCACTGGTTAAACCCATCATCAATTATAGATGGGTGAGGGGATGGTGCTTGGAGAAATAATTTCTATAATTATTGAGGGAGCCACAAGCTGGTGTGACCATTCAAATGCAGTCTCTCACTTACAGCTGTACTTTCATGTGGTGTTATTTGTTTTGTACGTTGTTCTATCCTTTGAGTCTGCGGACAAAATCCTATGGTGTAACCATTTAAATGCAACCTCTTACAGTCTAGCTAGTACTTTAACATGGTACTATTTGTTTTGTGAAAACTGTGCTTGCGACAATCCCGAAAGGTAATATGGGATATGATCAACGCACTTTTCCTGACACTCAAAGCTGTCAAATCTACTTTTGTTGCTTTCCTTTAGCACTGGAAAACATAGGTCCATGGCCTCTTTTGCCATTCTCACAAATTTCTTTGAAAAACAGTGAACTCGAAATCACCCACAGTACCTTTCGGGATTGTTGCCTGCACTGTCTTTTTCCGACAAGCTTTCTTGATATAGCTATATGTATAATCATGTACATGTGGTTCTATCATTTGAGTCTGTGGACAAAATCCTACGGTGTGACACTTCAAATGCATCCCATCAGGTACTACTTTTACGTGGTGCTATTTTGTTTTTCAGCATTTTACATGTAGAAATTATTTTTGTTGAATAACGACTTTTGGCCCTGGGTGATAATTCAAGCATTTACAATATTGTGATGTACACCAGGGTTTTCAATGAGAACCGGTGGCCGGCGAAATTGGCTGGCTATTTCACGTAAACCAGCCTACTTTTCTTTGGAAATTACCCTAGTTTAAGTAGTTGGATATTGATGTGCTGTCACTGAATAAAAGTTAAAAAGTGTCTTTTTTCTAGTGTCCAAACACTCTAATTTTTGCTCCAGAATGCTGGAAATGCATATTTGTAAGAGGCCCAGATTTCAATTTTATTTTTTCAGAAACTTGCAACTTTGCCGTGAGTTTTGTTTTCCTTCTCCACCAATACCAAAGCTTCTGCCACCTACCTAAAATCTTATTGAAAACCATCATGGTACATGCACACCCTGATATTTGGTCCTTACTCTTGTCCTCCAGCCACCCATGAGCAAGGCACGTAAGGATATCATAAATGAAGCTTTTAATAAGTTAGACAAGACTGGAGACCAGGTCATAACAGTGGAAGATCTTAGAGGGTATGTAGTACTACATGTACACTTACACCATCCTGTACACTATTGTCTGTCAGTTCCAGTGATATTTTAGTGGTTGACACTTACAGTTGCTGTAGCTGTGAATTCAAGCCACTCAGTCACATTGATGTAGATAAGAAATAATAGATTAATGGGTACTGGTGACATAATATACTGCTTGAGAATAAGCTTTAACCTATCTTGTGTGTGGGTTTTTTTGGGGGGGAGGGGACCAATGACACTACAAAACAAGTTCCAGTCGTTCAAACGTTGAATAGGGCTATGCAGCTTATTAATAAGTATTAGGGAAACCAATTGCATTATCCATCGCAGAGAGATTTATTGGGTGGATAGCATTATCCACCTTTTGAGCATTCTTGATGCCTACTCAAAGGTAAGATATTACCCTCTTGCAAGATGAGAAGTTTGTCCAGTCCTTGGGGTTGCCAATCTAGGCGGACTTGGGGTGGGAGGGGTGACTCCTTCTCTTAACCTTTGACTCTGATTTGACAACTACTGTTTTCAAAGGAAGTGATCTACTATAAGTGCTGATTTAAGTATTTTCAGTCATTTAATTTTTTAATTTTTTGCAGGGTATACAATGTGAAGGCACATCCAAAATATCAAAATGGTGAAATGACAGAGGATCAGATTTTCACCAAATTCTTAAACACCTTTGAAGTAGGTGGTGATGTGGATGGAAAGGTGAGTCAACCCTTTAAGCCCCAATATCCACATACAAATTCTCCAAACTGATCTCCATAGATTTTCTTAAGAATTACTTGAGAGAATTTGATAAAAGATCATGGCATTTTCCCTTTGGTGATCATTTTATTAATTCTCATAACCATCCCTCTTGACAATGTATGGATATTATTAGGAGAAAATTGTTTTTTGTCACTATTGGCACTTAAAGGGTTAAGGCTAGGCTCAGTTCGAGAAGATTCTCTCTGTTTTGAGAAATATTTGTTTCAAAGGCACAAAGCTTCATTGTGGTCTCCGTCAAATGAGAAAGACTTGCGAAAGCTGTGCTTTTCACTTTAAAGCTAAGGTTGTTTCTTTTACTGTTGAAGGTTTTTTTTTACAATCTGTAAAAGGTGTACTTTAAAAGTTCTGAGTGTTTGAAAACTGAAACTGTTGTCAATGTTGGCGCCATTTGTCAATTACACTGGGGAGCGAAGCGTTTTCATAAATAAACAAGATCAATTTTTTTCCCAAGGGTAAATGGCTATTACTAACTGAAAATCCAGGTGTGGAAATTCAATGTATATATCTTGGATTGAACTTAAAAAGATAATTTTAATTATTGTTAATTCAAAACATTTCTTTGTTTCTGATTGGCTTAAATCCTCAAGCTAAGTCCTTCATAACCAGGTAGCATTGACCAAATTAATTTGGAAGATGTTTGCCAATATAAATACAATTGACGTCAATCATCTTGATATGGACAGAAAAAAGGACGCACGGCCTATTTTAACAGTGCAGAGCTGTGTGTCAGAAGTTCTGTTACAAGAAATATTTCTGAATTGAAAATATATGAAATGAATCATATTCTGAATTACCGATAAATTCGCATATCGTTATCCGCAGTTCAAAATATGATTCATTTCATTTTTTTCAATTCATGTCATTTCCACTATCGTGTAATTACGTCAATTGTCTTGATATCGACAAAAAAAAAAAAAAACGGGCGCAGAAGGTGTCAGAAGTTCTGTTACAGGATTAGAATATCTTTCTGAATTGAAATGAAATGAATCATTTTGAACTACGGATAAAGATATGTGTACACGATCTTCGCATATCAGATATCTTAATAATCCGGGTTTAAAATATCATTCATTTCATTATTTCAATTCATGTCATTTCCACCATCGATTGTGAACTCACAATGGCCTGCTCTCCAGTTGGCGTGATTAGCTCAATAGATATAGCGTTGCGTCCGGTCACCGCAAAGGTCAGGGTTCCATTCCCGATCCAGCCCGAATTTTGTCAGGTTCTTTTACAACCGCTTTGGTTGTTCATTCAGGAGCACCCAACGTCACTTTTCTGAAAATATCTGTTCGCAAGACGATTTCGGATCTAGAATTTTCGGAACATTTGTTGTAAAATTTCTTGCTTGCCTTCCTCTCCTAGGATTTTCGAATATCTAAATAACGGTATAATTGCCCATTTTTAACGGATTTTTACCCTTAAAAGGTCACCTAGAATTTTCAGGAGCCTTTTTTCTGGCTTAAATTTTCGAAAAGGTAACTGTTGATCCCTATAATTTTCGGATCACTAGACTTTCAGCTAGGAAATCCGAACAGACGAAAAATTTTCAGGGGATAAAATATGCCTATATCTACCGTTTAAATACTGAAATACGTTTAACAATGCTATGTTTAAGTGGTTTTGAACTATATTGTCGTTGGGTGCCCCTGTTCATTCAACTGCGAAGGGAATGTTCACTTTCATAAAATATCTTTCTGTTGATATTCCGTTTTAGATAACAAGAGATGAATTCATGAATTACTATGCAGGAGTCAGTGCATCTATAGATAATGACGCGTACTTTCTACTTATGATGAAAAGTGCGTATAAACTCTGAATACTACACCCAGCCGTTTTGTCGAACTGCGCATTATTAGGCGAGGCTGGGCTCACCGAGGAGGAACATTCGTTCTGCGTATATAGAATATGAATTGCTATGGACTGCAGAAGGATGAAACATATGTACGCCCACCCTTTAGCAGGCTTCACACCCAAGACCAGGCGACCGTTAAGTCGAACTTATTAATTAGATATCAGCTATAGGAGCTGTGGAACTTGCTTCGTTGATGGCGTTTAATGCTTTTTAATTCAAGTAGACAGTTGCTACCTTGCCCCTGCCAGGGTTCTATCTAGGATTTGTCGTTTGGGGGAGAAGTCCCGAGTGGCGAAGGCCAGGAGCTTCCTAGGGGGGTCGGGGGCATGCCCCCCCCCGAAAATTCTTTGAAATGAATATGCGCTGAGATGTAATCTAGTGCATTTTGAGACACAATTTTGAGAAATGTTACAGTGTGTGAACTGACCTCGTCGCGTCTAGGTGATTCTTCCGATATAGTTACTTATACTCTGTAATGATAACAATCTTTTTTGTGGGGGGGGGGGGGGGGGGGGGGAACCTGGTTTTTTTTGGGGGGGAAGTTTCTACCCCTTAAATACCCTAGATAGAAACCTCCCTCCGGAATTGTTTGCTCATTTTTTTTTATTTAAATTGCATTCAACCGTTACCGCTCTAAAATTTTAATAAGAGACATTTTAAGCCCCAATATCCACATACAAATTCTCCAAACTGATCTCCATAGATTTTCTTAAGAATTACTTGAGAGAATTTGATAAAAGATCATGGCATTTTCCCTTTGGTGATCATTTTATTAATTCTCATAACCATCCCTCTTGACAATGTATGGATATTATTAGGAGAAAATTGTTTTTTGTCACTATTGGCACTTAAAGGGTTAAGGCTAGGCTCAGTTCGAGAAGATTCTCTCTGTTTTGAGAAATATTTGTTTCAAAGGCACAAAGCTTCATTGTGGTCTCCGTCAAATGAGAAAGACTTGCGAAAGCTGTGCTTTTCACTTTAAAGCTAAGGTTGTTTCTTTTACTGTTGAAGGTTTTTTTTTACAATCTGTAAAAGGTGTACTTTAAAAGTTCTGAGTGTTTGAAAACTGAAACTGTTGTCAATGTTGGCGCCATTTGTCAATTACACTGGGGAGCGAAGCGTTTTCATAAATAAACAAGATCAATTTTTTTCCCAAGGGTAAATGGCTATTACTAACTGAAAATCCAGGTGTGGAAATTCAATGTATATATCTTGGATTGAACTTAAAAAGATAATTTTAATTATTGTTAATTCAAAACATTTCTTTGTTTCTGATTGGCTTAAATCCTCAAGCTAAGTCCTTCATAACCAGGTAGCATTGACCAAATTAATTTGGAAGATGTTTGCCAATATAAATACAATTGACGTCAATCATCTTGATATGGACAGAAAAAAGGACGCACGGCCTATTTTAACAGTGCAGAGCTGTGTGTCAGAAGTTCTGTTACAAGAAATATTTCTGAATTGAAAATATATGAAATGAATCATATTCTGAATTACCGATAAATTCGCATATCGTTATCCGCAGTTCAAAATATGATTCATTTCATTTTTTTCAATTCATGTCATTTCCACTATCGTGTAATTACGTCAATTGTCTTGATATCGACAAAAAAAAAAAAAAACGGGCGCAGAAGGTGTCAGAAGTTCTGTTACAGGATTAGAATATCTTTCTGAATTGAAATGAAATGAATCATTTTGAACTACGGATAAAGATATGTGTACACGATCTTCGCATATCAGATATCTTAATAATCCGGGTTTAAAATATCATTCATTTCATTATTTCAATTCATGTCATTTCCACCATCGATTGTGAACTCACAATGGCCTGCTCTCCAGTTGGCGTGATTAGCTCAATAGATATAGCGTTGCGTCCGGTCACCGCAAAGGTCAGGGTTCCATTCCCGATCCAGCCCGAATTTTGTCAGGTTCTTTTACAACCGCTTTGGTTGTTCATTCAGGAGCACCCAACGTCACTTTTCTGAAAATATCTGTTCGCAAGACGATTTCGGATCTAGAATTTTCGGAACATTTGTTGTAAAATTTCTTGCTTGCCTTCCTCTCCTAGGATTTTCGAATATCTAAATAACGGTATAATTGCCCATTTTTAACGGATTTTTACCCTTAAAAGGTCACCTAGAATTTTCAGGAGCCTTTTTTCTGGCTTAAATTTTCGAAAAGGTAACTGTTGATCCCTATAATTTTCGGATCACTAGACTTTCAGCTAGGAAATCCGAACAGACGAAAAATTTTCAGGGGATAAAATATGCCTATATCTACCGTTTAAATACTGAAATACATTTAACAATGCTATGTTTAAGTGGTTTTGAACTATATTGTCGTTGGGTGCCCCTGTTCATTCAACTGCGAAGG